AGCATCCATTAGCAGCAGAAGACTGGGTCCATGTCGAGCATAATGTCGGGCAGCCAAGCCCGATATCCAAGAGACGGGACACCCGTGCCATGCCTTATGTCGGGTAAGGCGTGCCCAACATCAACCTTCAGGAGCTCTACATCGGGCACAATGTCGATCATTCAGCCTGACATTCGTAGCAGTTGAAGCCCATCTCGAGCATGATGTCTCCCAGCAAGCCCGACATGACTCTCTCAGGAAGACCATATATTTACAACTTTGCCACTCCATCTAGGACCCCTATAAATACTGAAATTCTTAAATTTTCGGGATCATCTCTTTATCTAGAAGTTCTTTCCTTGTTCTTCTCTTTTGAATAATTTTGTATTTGAATCTTAGTTTATTTCAATAATAGTTTGTACTTCTCTTAATGTTTTGTCTTTCTAATCATGATTAACTATTTCTCATTATAAGGTTTTGTGGTTAGTCTCATGATTAGTGAATAGTCTTTTAGGGATTTGAGATGGATTAGATTTAGGGAATTTGATGCTTGATTTATGACTGCTTAGTATTAATGCTTCCATTTTCTTTCTTGTTTTCTATGTTTAATACCTGATTACCCCTAGCTAAGTTGATTAGGATCATAGGCTCAATTTATGCCTATCAAGTGTTTGTTGGAATGTCTGAATTGCAAAGTAAGAGAATTGCTTATTATAGCCTAAGAGATTTAATGTCTAGGGAGTAGTTTGGCAATATATGATTGAATGAATGTTTGAATGCTTTCTATTTATCATATCACTAATGAAAATCAGTTCTTGACTTGATGATTAGCAAAGTAATTAGTGCCAAGAGATTGGATTAGTTATACAAATAAATCACATGCATAAGGAATAGCTTGATTGAGTTTGTAATTATCATGAGTTAAGTAGAGAGTTCCCTCATATCAATAATCCCATCTTGAGTTCTCTTTTTCATTGTTTCTTTTTAATTTTGATTTTGTCTTAGTTCTTTACTCTTGCCTTGTCTATATTGATCTTTTGCTTGATGCTTGCTCTTGCTAGTGTTTGCTTCAAGTTTGTTTGATCTATTTAGGTTGTTAGACATTAAATTTTCTTGTTTAACTTGGATTAAGAATTCTATTGCAATCCTATTGTTTTGAATCTCCTCTTTTGGATTGATAAAATTCAATGCTACAATGATTAATGTGGGTTGAGGATTGAAAGTGTTTAAAAGCTTACATCACAATGTTAGACGCAGTGCATGAGCAACTCCAAAATAAAATAAATTATCTATTTATATTTTTGTATTGGATGGGCTTTTAACAAATATGTCCTGCCTATGTAAGAGCATAATAGAGAGATTGAAGGGGGTTCTTAACTTTAAAATAAAATGACATGGTGAACATTCCTCAAAGAATTGGTTCTCTGCGAAAAAATGATAGAATCGATTCGGACGGTATTTGTCACAATGCCATTCATCATAATTTTTTTTTTCTGAAATTTTCTTTTTTTTTAAAATCATTCTTTTTCAAAAATCATTTTTTTTTAATAATTTAAAAGTTTAAAAACCCTATGTGGAACTCTGCAATGCTAATGCTCTAAAAGCCCCATAACGACTCGACTCTTTATGCAATTACCTCAACTTTTTAGCAGGGATATATATATTCTATAAATTAATAATATTAAAATTTGGACAAAATTATTAATTTACTGAATTATTAATTTATAAATTTTAATAATTATTGATTATAAGTTTTGGGACCTGAGAAATTTATTAATTAATTAAGTTTATTAATTTGCCGAATATTAATTTATATAATTTCTACTGTATATGTGTTGTCAGTTTCAAACATATATATATATATATATATATATATATATATATATTACTTGCATTACAATTTTAATTTGTGCTATTGATATTAGCTACTAATTTTAATAGGAGGAACTAATTTACTGAAACTTAACCTATAATCAAATCCATCCACTACATATTATTTGAGAAGTAACATTATTAAAAATTGCTTACTTGTCAACACTACAATCAAAGTTAATGTTTTTAATTGATGTCATGTAAATGTGACATGTCAAACTTCCTAAAATAAACGAAATGTTTTCATTGGTTGAACTGAAATTATAAAAATTGTGGAATTAAAACATAAATAAAATAAATTATATTTATAACACTAAAATTAACAAATTTAAATTAACAGATAATAAAAGCTATTATAATTTTAATTTTTTACAAATATTCATAATTTCATAAAAATAATTACGAAATTTTTTCAACAATATATATATATTATAATTTCATATAAAAATAAAAAATAATATTAAACTATCTAATATAATAGTAAAAATTCTATTTATTAATAATACTTTAAGTATGATATATTTTTATTTCGGAAAGTTATTAATTAAATCTAAAAAAGTTTTAAATAAATAAATTATTAAATAATACAATTTTAAATAAAATAAAATTATGATAAAATAATTTAAAGAATAAAATGTTAAAATAATAAAAATAAATAACTTTTATTGATTTTTTTTAAAAAAAACGTAATTTAAAAAAAAATATTTTCAAACCAATATTTACTAAATGAATAAAGTATAAACTAATTATTATTTTATAATATTAATAGGACCATATATTTTTCTATAACTTTTATCATCTTTTTATTGTTGTTTTCTAAAATATGCATAACTTATGTTACCATCTCATCTTATCTCTTATCATATTTTAAATAAAAATAAAATTTTATATCATATTAATATATATATATATATATAATTTTGTTTTCATTGTATATCAAAATTTTGAGATCATAAATGCATTAAAAAATAACCGAACGAAAGAATAAATTATAATAAGATGAAACAATATGAATAAGAGATAAAAATAGAAGTATATAAAAATAAATCTCTCGCCTTTTGTTTTACATAGTCACTTAAAAAAATTTTAACACGTAAGAGCCATATTTTAATTTTTTTACAAATACACGTATATATATAAATATTAGTTGTACATTAGTTGAAGTCACATGCAAACTCTTGTGCATTTATTTTGTTAAGATTGATTACAGTCTAATTTTTATTTTTTAAAAAATCTTTATTATTCTAAGTGTAGTAAAGTGATTGGTATGCCCGCACATGCGTGCCAACCATCTATCCGCTCCTAGGAATAAATAAAAATGGTAAAAACTATTTCAGTTTAATTTATAATAAATCAAGAAAAATATATATTTAAAATATATTACATATGTATTTACAAACTCATATTATGTAAGACGTAAAAAAACATATTGTAGATTGTGTAAGGAGAAATAAAGCATATTAATATTATCAGAATTTAATTATTATTTAATATAACTTTTATATTTGTGAGTATATACTATTACAAGCATTATACAAATAATTTTTTTTAAAATACATTGATTTCAGAAAGAAGTTTGTGAAATATTAAAACAATATATATATATATATATATATACAAACATACAAATGTTTAGAATTTAAATATTATAATTAACTATGTATATCAAAAAAATTATACCCACACATATGTGCGGGCCAACCATCTAGTATGAACTTATCTGTAGAGCGTTTGATAAATTTTATCTTGCAAAAGTCAAACTAATCATACTGATTTTTCAGTTTCATGCTACAAATAATATCGTCTCAACTGAAAATTAAATAACCAAGCGTCATGCAGACTCAATTTAAATGATATAACCAAAAGGATGTGAAATAAAAACAGCCATACTTTTATCATGTAACCAAAATATGTAACTTAACAACAAAAAATACACAGCAACAGAAAAATTAGTTTATCACTTAACCATAATTAGTCTCAATGCAAGTAGTCTAGAAACGTTAATAGTTATAAGCCACCCGAATAAAACTCCTCGCTATTGTAGTTACAACAAATACAATAACTCCTCGCTATTGCAATGAGGATATAATACAAGATCGATACCACAATATAAATGTCTGAACTTATCCCTTGACGTAGATGACGAACTGCTCAATCAACGAGCCACACCATGAATGAATTGGGTTTACTGAAAATGTTAGCTTATTAGAATTTGTCTATATATAAATTATGGTATTTGAACCAAAAAAACAAAAGATAGTCTAAATTTTTGCAGGTAATAACTTGTTTATTCGAATATTACTGTAAGATGCTGCTCTCTCCGTTTCTTTTCAAATGTCATGAAATTGAAAACCATTTATTTAGAAAAACCTATTGTAATTAGTAGTTTATTTATGACAAGACTATTTAACAAAGCTGATCTACTTCGCGTTACACCTAAATTATAGAAAACAAACAGAAAACAAACGATCAGAAAGCTTGTACTTCACTTACTCATATTAGACTAATTACTACTTAATTCTTACCAAACGTTTTTAGTAGATGTAAGTATGTGATGGAACACACTGCACGATTCTAAGTCTATTTTCTTTTAACGTTTTTTTTCTATCTACAAGCAATAGCCATTTACATATGCTTTTTAAACCTATGGTTTATTTATCTATTTTGTGGACAGTTTAAACCCTATATAATGGAAAAACTATAATACCATTCAGAGTGTGCTTAACTATACGTCCATCAAACAAAGAAAAACCATTAACCATTACATTGACATATGCGTTAGTTTTGTATATTTTAATGCTTTCACTTTTCACAGAACATAACAAAAATGGTTTCGAGAAATTTATTTTCCTGTACCGTGACGAAACTAAAGTATGTATGGAGCTGTATAGTCTTGTAGAGTAGAAAATGCGTCGATGAAGCCATAAATAGAGCAATGATATATGTGATGGGAATATGAAAACGTAACGACTTTACGGATTTAGGTCCAACAATCAGTCAGTTGTTAGTAGTTGAAGCCACTTAATACATACAATTACCTCAATGTTTTTTATTTTATTTTAAAAAGAGCTAATTATCTACTCGCTATATAAACGTTTGAAATGTTGATTGTTATGCTCATCGAACTACAAAACTAAATCACAAAAGATATGGGGCGTCTCGTAAATGGAACTGGTCTCTTAGTTTTGTTATGGTTAAATGTTTTTGTGGTGAATAATGTGGCTGCAAGAGAGGGTGTGAGTTTTGGCAAATATGAAGAGGAGAAGACGTTCTTTAGAGGTGGAAAGGGCTTTGGAGGCGGTCTTGGTGGAGGATTTGGCAAAGGTGGTGGCTTTTGTGGCGGAATCGGAAAAGGCTTAGGCTTAGGCGGTGGTTTTGGTAAAGGTGGTGGGTTTGGTGGAGGAATAGGCAAAGGCGGTGGTTTTGGAAAAGGTGGTGGCTTCGGCTTCGGTGGAGGAATAGGCAAAGGTGGTGGTTTTGGCGACGGCTTTGGAAAAGGTGGTGGCTTCGGTGGAGGAATAGGCAAAGGCGGTGGTTTTGGAGATGGTTTTGGAAAAGGCGGTGGCTTCGGTGGAGGAATAGGCAAAGGCTTAGGAGGCGGATTCGGAAAAGGCTTTGGCATTGACGGTGGCAACAACTGACACCACTATATAGCTAAATAAGAAGAAACGTATAGTTGCACTGCATGAGCGACTCTAAAATAAAATAAAATTACCTTTCACGTGTTTTTCTATTTATAATGTATTGGATGGGCCTTTGGATAAATGTGGTTGCCTTTGTGTTTCCATAAATATTTTCCTATCTATCTTCTTTTCATTTTCATGAATCATTGAATCTCATCACGCTCAAAAGAACCTAATAGGCCACATATATAGCATATGACTATTGACTATAGGTTTTGATAACGACTCTTCATTCGTCAAAATTACCTCAATACCGAGTAGGAATAGACCTCAAGCACTCTTTATAGAACTATAAGCACTCTTTTAAAATCATAAAATAAATAACATAGGATTTTGATAAGAATATTTAAAATCAATGATCCAATTACACGATCCATTAAAATGTATAAATCAATAACCCCAAAACTAACAAACATAAATATAGCCGAGCATATACAGTTATAAAAAATATAAATAGAAGAATTCACTACTGTGTTCTGATTCCATACGTGTCCAGCATTAACCACAAGAACAACAAAATCTTTCAGTGCTGTGATAATCTCTGTGCCAGATGTGCACTTAGATGTCGAAAATTCAAGTCACCACCATACAGCTTTAGTACTTGTAATAATTAACCTCATATCATATGTTTATTTAGTCTCTAAATCTAACCTCGTATAAAATAAAGAGAATTAAAACAATTTTAAGGCCTACCTATAACGACAATACGTGCACGTTCTCGAGTAAAACCTTAAATTTAGTTTTGAGATTTTTTCGAAGCTTTGATTTGAATAAAATAAAAGAAGCTTTGATTTGAATTGTCGCTTTGTCAGCTTTTCACTGAATCACTTTTGAATAACAATAATGATTAATGATTAATACGACCAATTAATAAATCCCAATAATTACTTTCAAAATGGTAAATTCAATACATTTAGGCGTTGATGTCAAAAGTGGCGAAAATGTGGGGGCTAATTTACAAGTTTTTTATAATGAAAATCAAAAATAACAGTTCAGCTCCAACAACGAAAAAGCCGTTTTTTTTTTCAATATTTCTGCTTTATTTCCTCTTTCTCTGTGTCTTTTCTTCTCTTCGATCTCACTGAGTCTCTCCTCTGGAACAGCTCGATCTTCGTGTTTTTAGGGATTTATATTTACAGTTTCTTCTTCAATCTGAATCCGTTTTGTTCTCTGTGGGTTTATTCGATTTGCCCAAATCGTCAGACAGATGGAAGAATGAGAAGAAAGGTGGTGATTGTTTGATATTTCTGGGTTTCTATGGAGCAGCTTGTTAACTTCATCATTCGACCTCCAAGGTGAAGAAGCTCTTCATTTTCTCAGGAATTGAAAATTTACTTTTCCTGGAATTTTGGTTCTGAGTTTATAAACTTTCTGTTTTGGCTTTCTCCTCTTGACTAGGTTGTGGAATTCCTCCTTTTGTAAGTCTGGAATTAAAGCGATTAAAAATTGGGTTTCGCGTCAAGTTTTGATTTTTCAGAGTTTAAGTTTGAGTTTTTGTTCTTGGTCACGAGCTGATTTTGGTGATTATAATCCTTTTTAGACTAGGATTTTACTTGAATTAGGTTAAATCACTGTTCCTCTTTGAAATCCATAAGAACCATTGTTTCATTTTGTTCATACTTTTGATCCATCTACATTTGAATATAATTGGTCTGATTTGCAGAGCTGAATACAACCCGGAACATGATCTCTTGGAACAGGAGTTCATGCTCAAAGGAAGATGGTACCAGAGGAAAGATTTAGAGGTAAAAGCTAATCTTTTGAAAGTTTATAGAAGCAAACAGTCTTTGGACTTAAAAAAAGAGAGTTTGCTAAATGGAAGTTATGTCCTCTTCTTATATTGATATGATATAGCTCAATATGTTTGTTAAATAGCATGTGCGCGTCAAGGCTTTATGCTATGAACCTAACAAGAGAAAAATTCTGCTCAGATTTTTGTTGTTGATGTGATTTTCTAAGTAGAATGTTTGTCATTTTTTCAGTCCTTTAAGCAGCTACAATGGACTTGTTTTTGTTTTTTTTTCCTCTGCCTTTAGGATCTTAAGGCTTAGTTGTGTTTTCTTGTGTCTGACAGGTTAAAAACAGCAGAGGAGATGTCCTTCGATGTAGTCATTACATGCCAGTAGAGCGTCCTGAAGATAGGCCTCTACCTTGTGTAATATACTGCCATGGAAACAGGTAATTAGAGATTTTATTTTATAGGATGCAGTAGCTGTTAGGACACTGTGAGAACCATGCTTTGAAATGAAACAACTGATATAGTTGCCAATACTGGTCCAGGATGTTGTTATTTGTTTCTTTTCGCGTACTATTCATTAATGTCCCCTATACTTATTCAGTGGATGTAGAGCTGATGCCAGTGAAGCTGCAATCGTATTACTTCCTTCAAACATCACAATTTTCACGCTTGACTTTTCGGGATCTGGTCTCTCTGGTGGAGAGTATGTCACATTGGGTTGGAATGAAGTATGAACTCCTCTGATCTTTTCTCAATATATTTGTCTTCTCCTCTTCTAGTGTGATGGCTTAAACTTATCGCTTTTTGGAGGAAACTAGTTGTCCAAAGTCTATATATTTGCTGGTCGATTGATCTTTGTTAGGCTATATTCCTCTTGTGGCTTCTCTTTTTTTTTTTTTTTTAATCCCATTAATACCAATACGCCTATGCTACTTAATTTGTCTGTAGAGGTACCTTATTGTAAACTTTCTGAAAATGACGTCCATATGATTTAGAGGGTTTGATGCTCTGGTTCATGTTAGACTGACACGTGAGAAGATCATGTAGGATTTTTAGTAGGTGCTCACTTAGTCACTGGGTTCACTAGCCATTATCCTGAAGTATGAAAGTAGTCAATTATTTAATTATTGTTAAACGTGACGTGTGTGCTTGCAGAAAGATGATCTGAAAGCCGTGGTTGAGTACCTGCGCACAGATGGAAATGTCTCCCTGATTGGCCTATGGGGTCGTTCAATGGGTGCTGTCACAAGGTTCCTTTAAGTTTTTCATTTGTTAAATTTTGAGCGTTTTCAGTTTCCAGTCTTGCATGGAGTTTCAACTAAGTGTAGGGAACTGTTTAATATAGGAGTGAATTTTCGCAAGCAACTGAGGATTTACTTATCTTTTCATACTAGTGGAGAGGAGAATAGTTGTTGAGATAAACAAATAAAATAATCTGTGGGCATATTTTTAGTCTATTGGCTTAGAAACATGACACTCTTGACTCTCTTGTGTCTAAATGATTGGCGATAGCTATAACATGTCGCGTTTCAACCACTGTAACTTAAAAGCTGATTGCTGCAATCACTCTCCCTGTCTGCTACATTTATTTTCCAGCTTGATGTATGGAGCCGAGGATCCTTCTATCGCAGCGATGGTTCTAGACAGCCCGTTTTCTGATTTGGTTGATTTAATGATGGAACTCGTAGATACATATAAGTTCCGGTTACCAAAGTTTACTGTAAGTCAAAAGTAACTTTGTAGTGTTTCGTTTTTTTGGGTGGGTATTGTTCTGCCTACTACAAGGTTTTCACATTGTCTTTGTTACCCACGCTTTTAAGCTCTTCCTATCTTTAATTCAGATAAAATTTGCGATACAATATATGCGGAGAGCTGTTCAGAAGAAAGCCAAGTTTGACATAACGGATCTCAACACCATTAAGGTCGTTTTTTGGGTAGTTTGTCCTTTTTGTTTAATTGATTACTTAGATGATGAACTAAATTATTCACTAGTATGCAACAGTATCATTCTTTTGTTGGTGTTCATTTGTGAACACATTGTGTGGTTTAAAAGACTGTTTCTCTAATTAGTAAATGTATCAAATACAAATATAAGTAGCTCTGTGTTTTTATGGAATGTGATGCTTTGTATATTCAAATTTTATCATTCATGCTGCAGGTAGCAAAGTCTTGTTTTGTTCCAGTTTTATTTGGGCATGCAATAGACGATGACTTTATTCACCCTCATCATTCGGAGCGTATATATGAAGCATACATAGTAAGTTCCTTACATGCCTCGTAGACATTTCTTCATATTAATACTTTCCTTCCTCTGGCTTCAGGAATTCTCGATAAACACTTGAACATGTAAGCTGTAAACATCTGACTTATGATTATGGCAGGGAGACAAAAATATCATCAAATTCGAGGGAGACCACAATTCACCACGCCCACAATTCTACTTCGATTCAATAAACATCTTTTTCCATAACGTTCTTCAACCTCCTGAGGTGGTCGGGCCAAGATTTTTTGACCCGGTGGATGATTATTTTGCCAAGGTAAAGAATCTTGCAGCGATGCATCAGACTGTTTAGTTTCTTTTTGGAGAGTTCTTGTACTCTCTTTAGTGAGAATGGTCGATGATGTTAACTGATTTATGTTCAGGGCAGTTGGAGCACCATGAAAGAACTAAGCTCTCCAAAATCATCAGCACAGAAAAGTAAGTCATCTGAGATTTTTCTCTACGTTTATTCCAAGTTGTATTGTACCCTTTAGGCAACATCATCTTTTCTCATTGATCTCAGGTTTAGCTGCGAGCAGCACCTCCGATGCAATAAACGAAGTCCGCATGAAAAGACCTATGAGTCGCACTGAGGTTGGTAGTACTTGACTACGTTCTGCAAGTTTTTAATGTTTTAGTGTCCAAAACAGTTTGCTCACTACATGTTTGAAATATGGATTTTTCTCTTATGATGATTCCCTTGAAACATGAAATAATCAGTTTTGAAGTGCGTCCAGAGCTAAATCATTGAAACTCACATCTGATTAATTCCAAAACTGGAATCATAAAACCATGTATCTTTTCTTGCATAGCTACCAAACAAGAGTTTGCATCACTTGGTTATGGTCTAATTTTTGTCACTGTGGTCTAATTTTTGGCTTTCTCCATCTACCTGTTGATGATCTATTTATTATTTCTCTCAGGTTCCTTCCAACGTCCCATCTAATCAATCATCGTCAGAATCCAAGGTATAAGATCAGCTTCTTTTTCTTTTTCCGTCTATATCTTCTCGTATTTACTGTTATTGCGGTATGGTTGTGGTCATTGGCCATCAACTAATCAATTTGATACTGGCTAGTGAAGGTTTTTAGATCAACAATAGTAGAGATACTAGTGTTAGGGTGACTAACTTCTGTACATATAAGATTATAGAATATTGTCCGTGGAAGAGAAACTATAAAAGATACAGAAATGAAGAAGACTCCTGATGTTGCATGATACGATATATTTCAGGAAAAAGAGAATCACGAGGGCTCCAGTAGTTCATCTTCTGATATGATCAGCTTTGATTTGTCTAATGGTGGTCCGTATCCTCATCTTGCGGTAGCTTTAGATGATGATCAATATGTGGAGTTTCACGTAGAGGAGTTGGCAGATTTTCCATCTAACGCAGAGGAAGAAGAGAGGGTGAGAATAACAAAAGCGTATTTTGAACTCTCCTCATGACTATGCTCTGTATTCGTTTGTTCATATATCTTAATGGCCTCAGATGCTGATGGAAGCTGTGATGAAATCGCTCAAGGACGTAGAGGTTGAGACTCATCAGAACAAAGAACCTTCCAAAACCAAAACAGAGAACACTGAAGAAAAAGAGGGTTATGCTAAGTCTTCTGCTACAGAACCAGAGTCTGCACATTCTGAGACAGATTCTTCTTCCGGTCCAACACCAAGTAACCATGATGCACCATCATCCTCTGAAGCCAATGCTCCTTGTAAAACATCGGATTCTCTAGCAGGACCTGTAAATGGTTTTGTTCCTCGTGCTTCTCCAAGAACGAGTCAGAACACAAATGACGCCATTGATTTGTCAGCACGTACAAAAGCAACAGTGACTGTGGTCGGGCGTAGTAGCACATCAGGGAACGTTCTAGACGGGTTATTACGCCGATGGGATCTTAGTTTCTTCAAAAGTAGATAATTTCATTAAGTTATGTGTTTTTTGGCTTGGGTAAATTAGAAAGAAAAGCTTCAAGTGTTTTAAAGGTTTTGTCAAGACAAAGTTATCTTCTAGTTAGGTTTATATGATTTTATTTATATGCTGTGTCTTGGCAAAATCTCTCTGCCAAGAGAAGAAATCATCTCTTGTGTTGGCTTTTGACCAAAAGGTCTTTTATCCCATTGTTATGAACATGTAATGAGATGCATCTTATGAACATATAATGCAATTACCTAACATGAATTTTAATCATGTTTGCCTTTCTTTACATTTTCAGGAAACAGAGCAAATGCTGTGGAGGAAGAACATAAGAATATAGACCATTTGATAAACTTGTTAAAGATAGTGAGTTCAAGACAATTTGGGCTTGAGACAAAGTCAATGTCTTAAAATTTTCTTCCATGTGAGTTTAACTCAATAACCTCATTGCTTCTTCAATGAGCTCATTGATCGTTAAGCCATGGCGTGCCAAACCAACCGTGCCTGAGAATATGTCAAAGTTCTCAAGCTCAGCCGCTGTCTCAAAGACTGTCTCTAACTCATTCTTCATCCCAAGTTCTTGGAAAGTCTTGACCGTCTCAGGATTAGCTTTCATCATCTGAATGGTTAGCTCTATCGCAAATCTCCTGATTCTTGGAACCTTTGGCACTGGCTGTTCATATCTCTTGAGAATCTTGACTAACGCATAGGCTAGTTCCTCCTCACTTACTCCTGCTTCCTTGAACATTGTTCTTGATTCTTCAAGACTCATTAACTTGAGGATATGCGGTGCTAATCCCACCATAACTTCTTGAGATTTACTTTCTTCAGACTTTATCGCCTTAAGAACCTGTTGTACCAACAAAAAAACATTAGTAATGATGATGATGATGATGATGATGATGATGATGATCAAGAACATGAGGACTCACTGTTGCTCCTGGAGATTTAACTTCCTTCAGCTGTTCCTTAAACTGATCAGGAGCTGTATAAGCACAGAGATTCCGCAAGATTCTCGCTGCATTCAACCGAATCAACGGTTTGTTCAAGGCCTTAACAAGTCCCTCAAGAACATCTGATCTCAAGATCCGTTGGCAATTGCTTCGACTCCCTTGAGCTAGCATAGCGATAGACTCACCAGCAGAGGCTCTAACACCACTAGTTTGATTCTGCTGAACCTCATCGTTCAAGAATATGCATAGAAGTCCCCTTAAAACCCCGCCCGTGCCACCGATTTTCTCTGTTGCACCTTCATCAAGCGCGAGGAATGTCAAGATCTCTGCACCTAGCTTCTGCAAATCAGGTCGTCTCTTTCCATGGCGTAATGTTTCCCTAATGTTGCTCACTGTGAAGACAACACCAGAGATGTCTCTCCTCAAGATTCTCCCCGTTGGACCGGTTGTTTTCACCAGCTTCCTTAACAGCTTCAAAGAACGCTTCACAGCCAATAGCTTATCAGATTCCATAGCCGCAACATTTGGATCATTCAACAGCCTTTTCTCAGCGTAAGTGAAGTCAATGATCTTTGAAAGTAACCCTTTTGTTTTCCCAATCTTCGCACAGTTATCATGATCTCGAGCTAGCCTTTGCAGTATCAACAGTCCAAGATTGTTGAACGTCCATAGATCGGTTTGATTGATACTGTTTTCTCCAATCTCATCAGTGGCTTGACCCGAATCTCTAGTACTCTCTAAGATAGATGATATCGACTCAATCGCTCCCGGGATCGCTGCAACTCTGAGAGAATTCTGTTTCTTGCTAGCCAATCTTGAGAGTATCTCTGCAGATGACATTCTCATGACTTCTTGATTCTTGTTTCTCCAGTTCAACATCTCAACTAACCTCTCTGTGATCTCAAGATTAGTCCCAATCTTCTGCAGAGTGTCGACGGAGTAGTTTTCGTGTGAGGAGAATCTACAGAGGATCTCTGCTCCAATGAGCTGCTCATCAGGAGAGTTCGACAGCAAAAGCTCCATGGTGAAATCCACCATATCCATCTTCAATCCGTCGAAGATGCTCCCATTTAGAGATCTTGAGTAAGCATTGTAGAAGAATCTTCTCACCGAATCCGTTCCAAAACTCTCGAGACCGCACTCTTTATTCACTTTCTCAAGGATCTTGAAAACGCTGATCATCCATTCCCAGTAAACTTTCTCAGCAAGGAAGAGAAGAGCCTCGGCTAGGGCTAGAGAGTAGAAGAGAGTCAAAGCAGCGTGAAGGTTTGTGCTTTTGGGTTTCAAGTCGCTGCCTCCATAGTCTTGCTTGATGAGCTTCATCATGGAGATAACAATGCTGGCGAAAGCAGAAGCAATCTGGAGCCAGTAAAAGACTCTACTAACGTTTCTTGAAACAAAAACCCATCCTGTGTAAGGCAACATAGGAACATCTGAGCTTGTCCATGTCCTTGTCCGCGAGATCTGCGCTAAGATCCTCTGCTCTCTTCTCGTTTCTTGAACCGCTGCATCGTCTGTACGATCGCTGCTACCAGGAATCTGAACCGGCTGGTGGAATATTTGGATAACTTGTCTGACAAGAAACCGGAAGCTGTTGATTCCAGAGATCGTGTATTTAGACTGATGCTGAAGCTCAAGCTCATGACTTCTGCTGAAAATCCGAGCTCCTTCCACGACAAGAATCACTGTAACAAACCAGAAATCTGTTGTCTCTAAACTCGCAGCGAATCCACCAAGAAGAACAACTGTTGCCCACACGAATCCTAAAGATCCCAACCCTGAAGCAACCTGTGGTTACAAGTTAATTAGGAACACATTCAAACTACTAAATTAGAAAACTAAAGAAGATAAAGAGTCTTGAAAACCTTTTCAAGAACAGCGAGTCGTAAGGCAAAAAGGGTCAGTTTTTTCTCAGGCGCAGGAACTGACGATTGTGCCGGTCTCCGAGGTTCTGGTGTGGAACTCTCGACTGGTCGGAAAACAGTTCTGCCTAAAGAATCGTGATGTGCTACTTCTACGACCACATCGGCAGTACGGTCAACCATTTATGACAAATACAGAGAAAGTAATGCTATGGTTTTGGTTTAACGCAGATAATTTGATTTATGATCAATTGGTATTGGTATTGTTTTGTTTAAGTATGGTGCTAATTATAGCCGGAGACTTTCACCATGCACGTCTTTGAGTTCGATTCATTGACTTTTGGAAGACAATCCTTGGACGCAGCATTTTTCTCTGATGTCATTAGTTTTCATTTTCATAATAACATTTCGTAATCTCGTTTATTGTTTTTTATGTTTTGGAAATTTAGTGTACAATACATATGTATACCAATAAATCATTTACGCATTGTACGTTTTAGGAACTATCAGATTATTGTGAATCATGTGATGGTTGAGCTGAATATTCCAAACTACAGGATCATAATCATGTCAGAATATTCATTTTCTTTTCTAACATAACTGATTAATTAGTAAATGTAACAAAACATATAAGACATTTTAAAAGTGATTCATTTTGTTTGTGATAATGCACGTCGATCGATTGCAATCTGCAAATACATGACGAGGCATGTTCTGACATCAATGATGATTTATTCAATTAAACAATTGTTTCACGACTAAATCAAATGTTGGATTATGCAAGATATCGAAGTGATTAAGTTATATATTGTTCGAGGAAAACCTATGAACTATTTGGCAACTTTATAATCATAATCTGCATACAGTGTAAAATTGAATATATTTATTTATTTCACAGCTTAAACCTTTGTACATGTACATACATTAGATGAATCATACATATATACAGTAGAAAGAAATTTCAATTCCTGAATACACTAAATTTCATTAAAAAAATTATTAAAACATATACGTTTTCACATTGTAAAAATGTGATTTTGCATTTATCATTCAGAATATTTATTAAATTTTCGTGTTTTAATTCTTTTTGAAATATATTTCTATTATACGTTGAAAGTATTGAAAATATAATTAAGATAAATAAAATTCCATTAATCTGATTAATCAGTTTTTTCTTAGCATTCTAGGTTTATTCTGCTCATAAATTTCTATTAAGCTCAAATATTTTGTTTTTTTTTCAATTTTGTAGCTCATTTGTCGATTCTACTGTTTAACTAAAAATTATTTTATTTAGATGATGATATGTGATTTTATTCTCGCTATAGAGAATTCAAAATTTTATACTGAAATGAAGAAGCAAAAGAAAACCTTTTTGTAATCATTTTTTTAAAAAATATTTCTGAACATAGTCGTATGTAAATGTTTTATCCCGTGCATTATATGAAAATGAAAATCACAATGCCTATTTCCCCGAACAATAGCAATGGCATACATGTTTCTTTCCAAAAAGTTTGCAAAAACCTCCTCTCTCACACCCTTCAACGCAAAATTTCCAGCATTTTCCATCATTGTCAGGATTATCATCGATGCCTGGAAGACATCTTCCAACGTCCGGATGTTCTCTACAACATATCGATTTATATTCATATACCCACGGTGCAATGTTTTCTTTCCTGTTTATTTTGTTGGATCCTGCATTTAACATATGTACAATATGATTGTTAATCTCCAACTTTTTTCAAAACTTTAGACAAAGTTTATTGTTAATAATAAACACTAGAAGAAAACATACCTATACATAGCACGAGAGCCGCAAATAAAACGAAAGAAACAACCTTTGTTCTTAGCATCTTTCTTCTTTTTTTTTTTACTATATATCAAATTACTACCAATTGTTATATTTTGTTTTTCTTTGAATGAGAACAAAATAAAAGAAGTGTTTCATATTTATAGCCAGAATTCTAAGTAAGGGTTCGTCTGAATAGAACATTATAATTTTATCATTCAACCGAATTAAATGTATTTCCAAAAACATTGGTCTCGCCTGGATTACTCATACCTTATAAAGTCCCCCACTCATTGACTAGCTTTTCATGTATGTTTTACCCTGGATATTACTGTTTGTTTTTAATGATGCTATCACTTATTTGGTTTAATCTGAAACTAGGTGAGCGGTCTGCACTATGTGCATGCTATAAAATATTTTATATGTTCAATATATGATTAATATAATATATTGAAAATGTTTTATTTGTATATGATTAATTATGTATTAATAATAACATTATATAAATATTTAATAATAAAAATAACAATAAATCAAATAAAAAATATTATAGACTTCAATAGAAATTGAACATAAAAAAAATTAACCAAGATTTTAAAATAATTTCTTAGATAAAAGTGTAAATAAAATAACTAAAATAAACTGGAAATATTAAAATATATAATAATTTATTTAATTTTTATTTTTGGCCCGCCCGCATGTGCTGTATAATTTTTTATAGACATAATTAGTTATAATATTTAAGTATTGATTAATTTTCTTATATATTATGCAAACATTATGTTTTTATGCATATACATGTTTAATGTTCAACAACAATCATACAAACGTTTCATATCGTTTTATGCCTTTTGAAATTTTTTTTTTTCTAGCGTTTACAGTAACATATAATTGTAAATATAAAAATTATATTAAATAATAATTATATTCTTATAATAAGTTTTGAATATTATCTATACTATGCTTTATATTTTCTCTTACACAATACAATCTTGCCAATATATATTTTAAGTATACATTTTTCTTTGACCTATTAACAACTAAACCAAAATGGGTTTTATCATCTTTACTTATTCTAAGAACGAGTAGATGTTTGGCCCGCACATTTGTGCGTACCAATCACCTCGCCGCTCTTAGGACATATAGAGATTTTTTTTAAAAAAATATAAATTATCTAATAACTAAAGGGAAGATTACTATACTAATTTGGAATGATGGATTTATGGCTAGAAAGACCTAAAAAGTTTTTTATTACTCCACTAACTTATGGTACCGATTTTACCATTAAAGTCTTTGTCAATAAAAATGGTATTTACGATTGTGCCATTACTTTTCGCTTGCCACGTAGGTGACTCATTTGACGGTAGACTTATTATTTTTGGTCAATGGATTGTAGATTTTTTTTCTGCTGGAGCATTTGGTAGACTTGTCATTATCGAGAATGTACTTACGACGTGGTAGACTTGTTGAAAAATTGTAGATTTGTTTTGAAAACGGTAGACTTAAAAAATAATGATGGAAGATTTAATTTCGCCGACCCTTACATGGAGGAAATCCGTGGTGGTTGTTTGACTTTTTCTGTTCATTGACTTTTAATGATGGTAGATTTATTGGTTACTTTTTAAGATTTATTTTGCACTTGGTAGAGTTATTTATTGAGGTGGTAGATTTATTTTGCACTTGGTAGATTTATTTTGCACTGGCGGATGTTTGCTTGGTGGCAGAGTTATATTATTGATGGTAGATTTTTAATTTGTACTAAATAACCATGGCGATGTGGTAGATTAACTTTCACTTTGTAATGATAGACTTATATATTTTAATAATTACTAGAATAACATCGTAGTATATTTATCGTGACTACGTTATGGTAGATTTTCTATTTGATGGAAAACATTTGACTTTAAACAGAGAAATTTAAATCTACCATATATTTGAACTTTATAATTTCTATGTTAGAGATGCATATGAAATTTGTAATTATAAAAAAAAAAACTATCTGATTATTAAAGTTTACTTATTCGGAATTATGTGGCAAATGTGAGTTTTTGTACTTTAAGTTGTATATACTAATTAAACATGAATTTTTGTACTTTTAAGTTATATATACTAGTTAAACATTTTTGGACAGCAAACAGACTTTGGTATAATGGTCTGTGGTCGTTTTCACAGATTTTTTTTCACCTAGGTTCAAGTCTCAAATCTACAATTTTCGTTTTGTTGTCCAGAATTACTAGAATTTTTTCTTTTCTGGTCATTTATCTATATTAAAAATTCATCCGCGCGTTGCACAGATTTATTTGTTAATTCATATAATTAATATATTTTTTATTTTATATATTTTTTAGTTTTTAATTATCGTAAAATATGTAAACTTATTGTGAAATATTTTCTCTAAAATAAATTATGATATGTTAATTGTTTTACAAAAAAAATCTCTTATAGTTATACGCTATCGTAAGTATCTATGTCTTCATATTAAATATTTTTATTTAATTAACCTATTTATGTGGTTTATTTCCACTAAGATCATTAAAATGATTTCACACTCTCTCTTTATTTTTCTATTCGAAATAGATTTTTATTTTGTAGAGAATTTGTAGTTATGTGATTTGTAGAATAAGTATTTTTTTTTTTACTTTTAAACTAATGTTATGGAGTGACTCAATTTATTGTCTGTCTTCTGTATAATTTAAAGTTATTCAGGTGTATATTTATTTTCATCAGAGTATATGCATTTTGTTTTTTTTATCGATAACATTGTTGATAAATTTCGATATTTTGACATACGCGTTGTGCAGACTTATCTATTTCTTTATTTCATTTTTTATATCTATATTATTATTATGTATATGTTTATTTTACATTATATTGTTGTCATCGTAAAAAAAAAATTGTCCAAAATATGTATATTTAATTGTAAATTATTTTTTTCTAACATAGATTATAATGTATTATATTAATTATTAAAAACATCTCTTGTATATCTATACGCTGCAATAAGTAATATATATGTCCTCATTGTTTAACTGTATTCAATTGGTTTTTAATTTTTTTTTACAGTTTATTTTCACAGATAAGGTGAAATCATTATCTACCATCCCCGGATTTTTAAAAATCTAACTCATTTCAAGCACAAATAACTATTCTTTTTATTTTTCTCTTTCCTAATGCTCTTAGTCCTATTATTCTGATTACAATCACTCATATTATATTTTATTTAATGCAAGCTTTCATCTCATTCAATTATGTGATTGGTTGTAACTCTTGATTTTAATTGATTTCAAATATTTCTTTTTTCGAAAAACAATTCCGATGTGTTCATCCATCTGATGATGATGAATATTTGTGAATGTGTGTGAAAATAATTTTGTCTATTTTCATGTCATATGCATGT